TAAAGTATAATATGCTAGTGACACATAGTGACACGTAAATAAAGTGTATAATGATGAAATCAAGTTGCAAATCCAATAAGGAAAGAGGTAGCAGTCACGAGGAACTCGCAGGCTATTATTGTTATTCTTAGTTATTCTTGCTTTTCTTTGTTATTTGTGCTTACCGTAACAAGATCAATTGTAGCATTTTTATTTTTTTAAAGGCAGATTTACATTTATTTTTTTTTTTTAGAATATTCAATCTGAGGAAATTAAATGATTTGTCGAATAACTTGGCCCTATTTTTCACATGTTTTTGCGGTAATACTTTAAAAAAACCATATTACGTGGGAATTTTTAGTGTACCTAGGAAAATTATATAAACATCACGTCTGTCTCGTCCGGCGATATTGCTACTGCGTAGTAATTTCGGGTGTATATATTTTTTATATTTTTTCCGGTAAAAAAAAAATAATAATAGATATATTTATTCTTACCTTTATTATTACCTTATTATTATATGAGCCCTATCTACTAAATTTAAATAAACGAAATAAATACACCTTCGCAAATACCATTTTCACGAAAAATATATATATATACATATATATATATTCGATCAACGTTATCTCAAGTTTCTATGTTTCTCAATTCTATTTCGTCTCAAAATTCGCTTCCTAGCGAAATCGCAGAGAAATCACAAAACACAAACACAACAAAATTTTCTTCGTCAGATATGCCTACTCATTTTATAAAACCGCCATTTCCGCCAATGATCAAAGTTTCCGATATAATCTCCAAAAGAGATCCAACTCAAATAAATTTAAAAGGCCCCAATGCCTTCTTAATTTATCGCAAGGCATTCTTAGAACATTTGTCAAATGTAATGCATTTAACTTCCATCGCTAATTATTCGTCATCGTCTTTAATTAGTAACGAAAGCAAACCAAAAGATTATGGTATAAAATCTCATTTAAAAATGACTGAATTTTCAAAATTTGTTAGTATTTGTTGGAATTCTGAGCCTGAATTCGTTAAAGAAACTTATAAAAATATGGCAAAACAAGTTAAAGATGAATTGGAACAATTAAGAAAGAATAATTCTTCATCAAGGATAGGTAGATCAAAAGTTATTTGGAGAAATGCGAAATGCCCATTCATGAAGAAGAAAAAAGTTGAAAATTCAAATAATTCAAATACGCAATTACTTAAAAACATTAATAATTTGAGAAAAGGTAATGTTAGCGATGAAATTGCAAAAAATGCTTCTAAAAATAATAAAGAACATGGAAATGATGGTAAAGAGAAAGGAAATGTGAATATAAAGAAAGAAAAGTCACGGACTAAAAAACGGTTCTATTGGACATTCAAAAACAAAAGAACCTGCAAATAATATTGTATATGAATTTGTTCCTATATCACCGGAAACTATAAAAGCTAGACAACCAAAGGAAAAATCAAAGGTTAAACCATCTGTAGATACTCCTTGGGTTACTGAATCTACTTTTACAGTTGCTCCAAATTCTACCTTTACAAGTACACCAACATCTGAATTGATTAGTAACGACGATTGTAATATTGCGTATTCCGTAGCACATTCATCAGACAATTCGAACTATATTACAAGTGAAGAAATTGATTGGGATTTAAATTTCTTAACTGCGCAATATCCAGTGGAACAAATATTTTATGACAATTGTATGTTTCAAAATCTCTCGCAGGGATTACCAAATGAGAGAATTGGTGTTGAATTGCAGGATTTATATTTACAAAGTTATCTTTGAACTATCATTATTCTAATTTCTAATTATTGTATTATTGCTATTTTTAAGAAGTTATGTGAATTATATTTATCATCAGGGTTTAAAGAATTGATAAATTCAGGGGAATTTTATGAATTTATAATTTCTATGAACATATAAATTAGGTTTACTATGAAATTTTATGAACTTTATTAACCGTGTGTTTCATTATTTCTTTCTAATAAATTATTACATCTAACTAATGTTTAAGAGTGTTTTTTTTTTCCTGAAACTACATTAATAATTTGATCGATCTTATGAAGTATGGCTGACATGATTATTTATCATTATATAATTGGTTGACCATTATCGCCTATGGATCAATTTCTGTTAGAGATGTGTTAATTTATTTAATAATGGATTTATTGAATAATGGATTTGAAAATATCTATACAATTATTGATGATCAAGTGAATAACCAAGCTTGTCTAAGCATGTTTACACTTTTCATGAAGTTTAAACAATTGTAAAAAGACTTAATGAATGATAAAACTTTTCTTTTTTTGGTATGGCATTTGTCCAAATTACAATACGTACGTACGTACGTACATATTTAGCAAATTTACATAATTAATTCATAAAAATTGACATCGGGCTTAGATCCGACTATACCATGCATATATTTGCATATTTAAATAATCGCTTGGGACTAATCAAATTCGAAAAGAGCGATGCTGGCATCAGATTTGCCTTACTGCCTTATATAAATAGTAGCATTGCGTATATGCATTTTCTCATATAAGCCTAACGTTTAATAGTTAAATAGGAGTGTTAAATCGTTTTATGGACCTGGTTTGGAAGTAGTCCAGTTATAACTACCTGCGCTCTGTCTAAACTATACATAATAGCATTCGAATTACTACGTAGTTCGAATCAGTGTTGGCCTATGACCTACTATGAATTATTTGATAATTACCGGTATAAGTTATGACCTTACATTATGTCATTAATAGGACCTAGACTATACTCATGGGTAAATTCTTTATCCGGGCATTATCAAATTATCCGTTGTCCGGGTAATTTCCTATAGTCGTATAATAATTTCTACCTGGGTACGATTTATACTTAAAATAGCTAATACCGTTATGCAGTGCTAAACTAACTTTATATATATAGATTGACTAATTTTGAACTGAATTATATAACATTCCTAATTCAAAAACAATGAATTATCATTACGGAATTTTACAGATGGTCGAATACTGATCTTTTAAACAGACTAAATTTTCACATCTATGTATAAAATTTGGAACTATTATGTAAATTTGCTAAATATGTACGGACGTACGTACGTATTGTAATTTGGACAAATGCCATACCAAAAAAAGAAAAGTTTTATCATTCATT